AGTCCTTTCAAACCTTGGATAACCTGGTCTTCAATCGATCTTCCGAGTTTCATTGTAAATACACAATTTTTCATTTTGTTGCGCGTTCATATTTGTTTCTTCTTCTTTGTTGTTCTCTTTCTGTTTACAATTCCTTTTTTCAATTATTTTTCATCATTGGTGCTTCAAATAAATCTATTTCACCGTTGCATCGGTTTAAATCTTGATTTTCAATAAAACGAACATTCTTCCTCTTTGATTACCAAATGTGTTCCCAGTTCCCATACATGATTGATTTCGATTCTTGAGAATATCATGTTTCTTCTTCTCAAAAATTCTTTTTTCTTCGCTTCATGATTTCACTTTTACTAACCGAACACTTTTTACTTTACGCGTACTATTACACGTCAGGACCCATAACTTGTTGGGATTTTATTTAACCCTTAAATGCATGAATTAATGAATTTTATTTAAAAAATAGGGTTATAATTTTTCAAATGAGTGGAAATCGGGAAAAATATTAAAAAAAATTATAAGTCATATCTTATAGGATTTTTATTGAAAAATATTAATGATTCATTTTTGGTACACTATGCAAAATAGACATAAAAATTCTTTAGTTAGTATGACATATCTATAACAAAATTATAAACCACATGCATACCACACCAAAACAAAACCAACAAACCAATAAAGGAAGCATAGTACTAAATACATGTCGTAATTATTACCATTAGTGCATGTTGTCCCATTTTTGCATCAACACGAAATAAGCCCTCCATACACATGATAGTTACGGAATATAGACAAAAGTACTAGCAAATTAATAAATAAGAGCCTTACCTTTAGAAAATATTGTTTGTTTAACGAATACACCAAAATATTTCTAAATAATCCACTTCCAAAAGTACGTAAATGAACCCGCTATCAAAAATGCGCGCCAATTGGTATAACGTCAGAAAGATACAAATATTGAAGTCAAATGTCATTATTTTAGTTAATTTTTGATAAGTCAATGGACAAAGGAATCACTGCCATTCAGCCAAATGTATCGATATCAAAACTGTTGTCGGGTATCCGCGCAAAAAGTTATTGATTCATTTTTGGGACTCTATGCATTTAAGGGTTAAGAACACATAATAATAAATGTATAAGTCTAATACAAATGTAAACCACTAATAACGATATCACGCAATAGAAGACACAAAATCAATAATAACAAAAACGAGACTATCATGTGCTCTTTCTATATTCATGAAGAACATGCTTCGATAAATCGATTCAACCATTTCTAATACAATTATATTTCAAATTGGTTTTCATGCAAAAGTAATTGTTTCGGATTTTCCAATATTAGTACCCCATTGTACGTCTACGCGTCGAATTGAACGCGTCTTGCCGACGCATTGATAAAAGAACGCAGTAAGGACACAGAAATTGTCTTCTCGAAAGACAGTTCAAAGTAGTCTGTCTGAGCACGAGTCAGGTAAGAAAAACCACGGAGCTATAAGATACGTGACCGTCGAATCGTGGCATATGGCCTTCGAATTGCTTTCGAATTGTGGCAAGAAATTAGAAATAAGGCATGCTGGCCGCTGCCCTCTAACATTTCTGGGAGAAATTACTGTAATTACCACAAATATAACGACAAGGTATTTCATTACAATTTACGGTTTTCGACTTTGAATCACAATTTTTGAAAATCTACTACAGTAAATTCTCCCTAGTAGTTCATGTTATTGATATACCTACGTCTATGTGACCTTTGACTCGAATTACCAGAATGACAATTCATAATACAATGACGTAACTTCTTTAATTTTATCATTTTAAAACTGATTATTTTTAACATATTGCTGATTATGACATTTGTGATTAAAATAAAAGGCGATATAATTTCGATTACATTTATTTATTGAATACTTATCGTGTAATTAATTTTATTCCATTGTCGCTGTGATTGTATGAGAAAAATACATTGTTTGTTGAAGAACTTAAGGTTCTTTATACGAGAAGCGAATCTCGAATAATAGGACATAGGCAAAACGATCGGTTGAAAGAAGTACGAGTCGATTTGTTGTGAGACAATGCTAAAGCTCATTTCCACTGACTTTGCTTTTGCCGCTTGATCCTAGCCGCACGGCTCTGCCCATCGAATGAGCCGATCTTTGTAAATAGGCAAAGGTAAACAAGTTTGAAGTGTTTCGTATGTCTTTAGTGTAATTCGAGAAAGCTTTCACTTGAAAAGCTAATCGCTATATCTATTCTCGTTTTCGATCCGATGTCGGTAAAATTCTAAAGAAATTGTGCCAAACGGAGCCATGTCATCGACACAAGGATCAGTTTCAGCCCTACAGTAAAATCTAGGACGAAATTAATAAGGCCTAAAATTCTCTCCAAAAATACTATTAGCTCATATGATGATGAATTAATTGATGAAAAGAATATAGTTTCATAAAAATAAAGTTTAGATAATCTTAAATTTGCGAAGTAAAAATATTCTTATCAAGTTTTTGTAGCAATTTGTTGTTATATAAAATATGAATAACTTTTTTATTTGAACAATATTATATTGAATATTGGAACTAAAAAGTTTTTAAAGTGCGGAAGTTTTGAAGTTTTGAAGTCTGACAGAGTAGTGACAATGGCAATGAAGTTAGTAAAGAAGATGTGGTTGAACGGAATAAATTAACGAAAAGTTTTATCTTGGATCAATTTGAAAAGATAGATACAGAAAAAGCAAAATGCATTCACTGTAATCGCGTATTGAAAACTAAATATAGCAATACCATTGCCATTATCAGTGCGGATATTAAAAAACCCATTTGACCAACAGAAACATTGTCATATTTGAATAAAGACTATACGAAAGTAAAAGATTTGACTAGAGCCATTATTCCTATGATGGCATTGGATCTGCTACTTCAAGTTGTTGAGCAATGTTATAAAATACCTTCGAGATGAAAATTCTCGAGAGGAACGGTATCACAAATGTACAACGATCTGAGGAAGCAAATTGACGAAAAAATAGATGCAGATATTACAAAAGTATTACTAGTTATTTTAAATATTATAATTTTTTGTTACTTTTATTCTGAATTATACAAGATGTTCCATAATTACTTTAACAGCCGAAAATGGCGTAAGTACCTGACGTCATTTGAAGTAACTTTTTCCTTAGCGAAAATGCAATCTGCGGCACTGTTAACAAGTTAGCAACGAAAAACACTGACCAATATGAGAGGCGAGGGCGTAGTTGATCGATCGAGTGCAACGTGCTTCGACCGTGGAATATGACAGATGAAGGGGGGCTCCGCGCTGCGTCCGAATCAATGAACAAACCACGGAGAGTGAACTTCCGAATTTTCTTTACTACGTGGCAGTAATAATTTTAAGAAAAACGCTGTTCGTCTTTATTTCAGAATGTCTGAAGTATATTTACTAATTTTTCAGACCCGAAATAATAAAGTAGTTTAACCGTGACAACCGTTTTAATTTTCTGAAGTGCATGACATCTCACGTGTACCATATGAAATTTTTATGCAAGGTGTACAGTGAAGATTAACAAAGTTCGTAAATGATATTTTAATTTAAATAATTCCGTGTCCAAACAGAATTCAACGAATGATTCGCAAAGTTAATTCAATAATAAATAATCGCGTTAAGGGACGTAAGGAATTTGTTCGTTAGAGAAATATGAAGAATATTATCAATAAGAAACTCACCTATGTAGATATAAATCCACTTCATGCTCGGAAATGTGTGCAGGAGGATAGTGCATTGACCTCATACAATATATGAGGAACTGCACTGCTGATGTGTATCCGACAGTGACGAACAGGAAGATATCTCCGGGCAGGCTATTCTAACGTTCACTTTCACTGCACTATCACTAAACACTGATCATTTATTCAATGATATTTACGGACGAACTTTCCTGTGTTAATATGTAAGGCTCTGAAAAGAGTTGATTTTTCTACGAAACGCGTTCGAAGTTCGTACCGTTAACCCTTTGCAGGATCCTTGGAGTAAACACGCACCGTACAAGAATAATTAAGAAAATTCTCTTGCAACGTCCTTTCCATATTAATTCTCGGGACGAACTGTAGAAGATCGGCACGATGGCCGACAATGTTCGTGTTTGATGGGAAACAGTTGAAATTCGTTCGGAGGACTGACAAACAGATAATTCCAGAAGAGGGCCTGCGTGCATGGCGACGCAGCAAACAAGAGGTAATAGCCGACGCAAACGCCGAGCAAAGTAAAGTGGAACATGAAGAACGCACATCGACATGGCTCTATAAGATTTCAAAGTAGCGTCGGAAGCAGAAGGGTACAGGAAACGGAAGACTAAAGCAGAGACATTAAAGTAATCAACCAGTGCGAGCGTACTATTTACAGTGACTCGCATTAATATTCGGACACGATATTGTTACAAGAATTATTGCTCCTTTTTATTGTTTATGGTAGTATTATTGAATCAATTGTTTTCTCATATAATAAAGCACTTCTTAAACTAAGTAGAAACATAAATTTTGTTTATTTATTGTATATGTTCTTTTGTATAATAAGCGAAAATATTCGGACAGTGAATGAATTACATTAATTTTATATAAAATGAAAATCTTTTTAATCATGTTATCATAATATTGATATTTTGTTGGTTGATCCTTTTGTTTTATTACTTTATGTAATCGCTTGGGCATGTTACAAATGATCTTATTTAAATAATCCGGCGAAATCCGTTTCCATTTGTCTAACAAACGTTGTTTTAACTCTGTTATTGTCCTTGTAGGTGTTGTAATAAATTTTCCGTCGTTTAATTCTGTATTTACTTTACGCCACTCCATTTTTTGGCTGTAGGATCCGTAAAGATTAAATTTGCTTTCATCCGAAAATATTACATCATTCCACCATCAGTTGTCCTTGTAAAAATATTTTTTTTCCTTTTTTTAATTCTTGTAACAATATCGTGTCCGAATATTAATGCGAGTCACTGTACACCAAAAGGAAAAAGACAGATGGAATACGTATTTTGTAAAAGTAGACACAATACTCAAGACTGGGATGTTGCGAGAAAAATGAGTTTAAGCGATAGAAAGGAGTGTGTAAAGCAGAACACGTACTTTATTTGCATCAAGCGTGGTCACAATAAGATAGGTTAAATTTTGAGCATTGAGGTTAACTGGGTTTGGTGTAATAGGTGGTACACATTACTTTTTTGTTCGAAATTTACCGTGAAAAACGACGAAGATATTAGATAAGCGCGTTATAAATACGAAAAAGTTCAAAAACAGTTTACCTGCTATTTATAAGACGTCCGAAGTTTGTTTATAAATGTTGCGTGTTTAACTATACTCCGAATCACGAGAAGTAACAGTGGAAGCGATTGTAGATACGGCTCCGCAACGCTTGCGTTAATCTCGCATCTGGAGGATATATTGAAGTAACACATTTTTTCTTCAGCTGTGTTAAATCGAAGACCAAGAAACATGATGATTTCTTGATTCCCATGAGAAACATTGATGAATCTTATGTATGTAATTTTTTAGTTTTAAGCAAAAACACGATTTGTGAAAGGATTCTGTGCATTCCAAAAGATACGTGGATTGATAATGTTACGCGAAAAAAAATTATATTCTTCGATATTGATAACGAACAAAATTCGATACAGTTGCTATCACTCCGTCGACGAGTTCAGACGCCTCTTGTGTCACGCGTGATCCTGCGTGCCGAATCATGGTTTCAAAGTTTGTAAACTAAGGTTAATCGGTAGTGTAGTGATACATTGGTGTTTGTGTTGTTTTGTTATAAGGCCACTAGGCCTACCAAATACACCAGACGTCCTGCATCACCATGCTTTCTCCTAAATGCGTGAACGAGACTTCGGCGTACAGGAGTCCACTGACTTCAAACACAACAGAAAGAATTGAAGAAAAAATCGGACCCATGGAACCAGCAAAATCTTATGCAAATATTATGAAAATAGAGTAAGACCTATGATACAACCAGCACAACGTATCATTCTCTCTAATGCAGAGAGACTCTATCCCCAACTATCTCCAATACTGAAATTGAAAAAGAGTTCACAAAAAGTAATATTAGAATGTGTTCGAAACTTTCTTCGCTGAAAGCAGCTTTATCTGATCCTGAATTTGCCCATATCCTAAGCTTTAGGAGACAATTATGTCCACCCTAAGGACGTTAAAAAGATCCCTGACACCTTTGTAATGACTATCGACGATACACCTCTCTCAATTTTTGCTACCACAGGCACATTGAATTGCTTCGTATGTAAGGAAGAGGGACACGTTGCTCAGCACTGTCCTAACAACATAGAAACAAACGATATGGAAGATAATATACCAGCTACTACACAAACACCATCTACTCACTAAATGAGAAATCCATAAAAGATCACAATTTCAACCATCCTAATATTTCTGAATTACCGACAATCAATACCGGAATTAAAAAATCGCTCTCAGTTTTTACTGAATCAACTTCTGACCGAACAAATACAAACGAAGAAATTTTCAAATATCCATCAACGGCCACCAAAAAGAAAATAGCTAGAGTAAAAAAATCCGGCCTCCATCTGAAAATAATTTAGAGGAATTGCTCAGTCCCGTTAAAGACCCAATAGATAACTCTAGTAACAAATATATTCTTAATTATACCCAATTATTAAGCTTCCTAGAAAATTCTTTTGGAACTACAAATCCAATCGAAATATCCCATGAATATACCGAAAATATACCGGAATTAACGAAAATGCTACATAATATTTATCCAGCCCTGAAAAGATTCAGTATCAAGAATAGAATCCATATGTTATGCAAGAAACTTACGACTAAATTTCTTGACGACTTTGGATTTTGGTCATCAGACACAGACACTAACACTTCATCACAAATTGCTATCTAATAAATCTTAAATATAAAATAAATTAAATAAATATCAATTATCAACAAAGTGAGAAAATTTCTCAATGAAACATCAGTGGATATCATGCTCATTATGAGCAATTACAAATTATTATAAACCAATATATTCCAGAAATAATATGCCTACAAGAAACTAATTTTAAGAAAAATTATCACCCAACCCTGCGTAATTACGAAAGTTTCACAAAAAACAGAAAATGATAATTGCGCCAGTGGAGAGGTGGCCACTGCAATTTCCAAAAAGTTTTACGCCACAAAAATTTCCCTTAGCACTAATTTAGAAGCTATTGCAATAGAAATTTCACTTCAAACACCAAATATCGATGATTTAGAAAACTTGATAGCGCAGATACCTAAACCCTTTATACCTTTAACTTTAATAGCCATCATTCCCTATGAGGGTCGTCTAGAACCGATGCTACAGGTAAAAAGATCGAAAAATTTCTAGAAAATCCCAATTTAATACTTTTTAACTCATGAGAATGTATCCATTTTAATGCTAGCAATGGAACATTTAATGCCTTTGATTTAACATTATGCAGCTCAATTTTAGCTCATAACATGGAATAGCAAGTGATGGATGACTTATATGACATTGACCACTTCCCCATTCAAATAAAATATGATGATGATTCTTCGAAACCCGACCATCCTGATATACCAACATTGAATCTTAACAAAATTGATTAGCACAAATACAAAGTAATAATAGACCACGACATTCGCCAAAAAGAAGATTATTATGAAATAGAGCCATCCTCCATCAACGAAACACTCAAAAAATTTGAATCAATTATATGCATCACGGCAAAAAATTCTTTTACGATAAACAAATCTAAACACATCAGAAAACGCACTACACCATGCTGGAATAATGATTGTAATTTTGTACTCAAAGAAAGTCACCACGCATTCAACCGCATGAAAAAAACCATCTAACGAGAACCTAATAGAATTGAAGAAGCTGTGAGCCAAATTTCGTAGGACGATTAAAGAAAGCAAAAGAAAGTCATGGGAGACGTATGTCTCATCAATAACAAACAAGACACCAACGAAGCTCCTGTGGAATAAAATTAAAAAAATTAATAGAGGTAGGCAATTTACTGGAATAGAATTTCTAGAACTAGAACTAGACAAAAACAAAGTGGTTACCAATAACAAAGATATCGTTCAAGATAGATCATATGACTGCAACTACTTCTCAGAGTTCCTGGCCCGTATCAACAATCATGGGAACCAAACCATAGAATCAATAACTAATCAAGAAAAGTACAACAACAAGAGACCCTGTTCTAAACACAATCATAATTGAAGATAAATTTAATAAAACCCTCCAAATGACAAAGGACTCTTCGCCAGGTCCAGATTGCATTCCGAATCGATTGCTGAAAAATCTTCCACTAATAGGAAAAAATCATCTTCTCAAGATTTTTAACTGCATATGGATCCATAGGGTTTTGTAAAGATTATATCAAGGTTTTTCCAGATAACTGGAAAATATCTATCGTCGTATCTATTCTTAAACCTGGAAAAAACAAAATTAAAGCTGACAGCTATCTTCCAATAGCACTAACGAATAATTTGTGCAAATTGATGGACAAAATAATAAATCGAAGACTCGGATGATACTTGGGAGTTAATACATTTTTCATTTCTCCACCACTGACGTTCTAACAAACATGCTGTGACGCTTTTCAAAAAAAGAAAATATCTCATGGCAATCTGCTTAGACATCGAAAAAGCGTACAACATGATCTGGAGATCCAAAATCGTTGTTCCGTCCTTCAACGGAATTTTCGTGCTGCATCCCTCTAACTTTCTCCGGGACGAATTACCTTTTCCTTTTATCCCTAAAAAACATTTATTGACGGGGAATCTTCGGCTCAGCGAGACAAATTAACAGTCCTTCAACGAACGATTTCAATTTCGTAGAGCCACAGCCTTCTTCATTGCAGTTTCTAAGTTTATGATTTTTTCGAGCCGTCTTCTTTCCGGCAATAAAGTCATTTCTGCACTTTCGAATAATGCACACCTTCATCGGCAGCATTTTTTATAACCGGGTCGCTAGTACGCACCGCTTCGGTCGCCCGTCCAGGGTTTCTTGCTACCTGCGGCACTGCGTGCTACATCACTTTTACATCCCCTTCCATCGCGTCACTGGCCAATCAATTTCTAGTCTTCTGTCCACGAAACAGTATAAAATCTCGAAACCGATTCGTCAGTTGTCAGTTGTCAGTTGTCATTTATCAGTTGTCAGTTTGTCAGTTCATCATCATTTAGTCTTTAGTCACTCGTCGGTCATCGGTCAGTGTCAGTTAAACTCAGTCATTCTCGCTCGGTCTCTAGTCCGCTACTCTGTTTCGTCAGACACGCGCTGTCCATTCCAACTAAGTTCTGAATCGCAGTGAATCTGCTTCAGTCAACTTCAGCAGACTCCAGCTCACGCTAGTCTACTACACTCAACTCTTCAACTTCAGTAGACTCCGACCCACACTAGTCTACTATTCAGATAATCTTTCAACCTTCGACCATCAAATTGAATGCTTTATAGTGTTTTAATTTATTCTTCAATTCTTTCTTCAATTCATTCTTCAAAAGTAAAACAGCTGTTCATCTTTAATTAGACGAACAGCGATACTAACCAATTCCGTCGCTTAGCGTAATCGGTCTTACAACTCGAGAGATTTTGTAATCGCGGAGTTTTAGTATCGGGTTCACTCGCTGTGCACTCTACAATCATCAATATACTTATCAAGTTCAAGATCAACGGCCCTATGCTATCTTTTATAGTAAATTTCTTAACCAACAGAATTATCCAAGTAAGAGTCAATGGCACACTTTCTGACCCGGCTGAAATAAAAAATGGAGTACTTCAAGGATCAGTGCTCAGTGTTACACTATTCCTGATAGGAATAAATGACTTAGCGGACAGTATACAAAATCCAGTCAAAAAACATTTGTTTGCAGATGACCTTACTATAACTTGTAGTGAGAAAAACTTAAAGACAGTAGGAAACCTGATACAGACAACTGCAAATAATGGTCTCAAATTTTTGGCCCTTAAAACTCAAGGTATTTTATTCAGCAAGAAATTAAATCAAACAAATTCTCTCCCCAAAAATCATCGTGAATAGCGCAGAAATTAAATTCGTGGACACCATTAGAATACTCGGACTTCTCTTTGATAGTAAATTAACCTAGACCATCCACATAAAATCTTTGAGGGATTCATGCTTGAGAAGGCTAAACATAATTAAATCTCTAACCAATATCAACTGGGAATCAGATCAGGGAACTCTGATAAAAACTTATCGAGCTCTAATTCTGTCGAAACTTGACTATGGAGCAATTATTTATAATTCTGCCAAACCCAAAATTTTACGAATTCTTGATCCCATATATAACGCCGCATTGAGAATGATCACAGGACTTTACCGTACTTGTCCAACTTGCGGCATTATATTCGAAGAGATGCCGCTAAAACAACGAAGAAAATTATTATGCGTCTCATACGCCTTTAAAATGTTCACCATGCCAAGTAACCCTATCTTTAATTATATCTTCCGAAAAAAGTATAAAAACTATTGTACCAAAAAATCAAATTTACCTGCACCATCTTACATTAAAATTAACGAATACCTATCCTCATCTACATTAGAACATATTAGTCATCGAACGCAATCAAGAATCTATAGTTCCTTGAACCATTTTAACCCCTCAAATTGACGTAGATTTAACCGTCTCTGTTAAGAATAAAAGAAGCAGCCAAGAACACATGTTTAGATTCCTAGAATTGAATAACAATAAATATCTTCAGTATAATATAATTAAATTATACACAAATGCCACAAAATCTGATCATGGAGTGGGATACGCCATTGTCACCGAAGACAAATTAATTAAACATTGTGTGGCTAACCAAACATTAATTTTCTCTGCTGTAGCCTACGCAATCCATGATGCCCTAAAATTAATTCAATCTAACAATTCCCAAAGTCATATAATTTACTCAAACTCCATGAATGTAATTCAAGCAAAAGTGAATTAATCAAAAATATTTTAATACCATAGACTAATCTCACGAACTTAAACAAAAATATAATTATTGCATGGAATATATTTGACATATTGGAAAACTCTATCCAGGATCGGATTCTATAGATATTTCTGAAGAAGAAACGGCCCAATAGAAGTGTCAGAACGTTTTACATTTCGAGTAGGCCGAGAAAATATTCATCGGTAACGCGTGCACGACGTTTTGCCGTCATGTGCTCCGCTGCTCGCTTCTCTCGCTTCGGCATGGCCGACTTTACACTTTATGTAAATAATATTTGAATATTTTATTATTAGTTTCATACCTCTATTGTTTAACAGTATGTTTCAAGAAGTTTAACATTTAAAAAATTATTATTTATTTATGATCGATGTCGATGTCACTTCACTAGTTGGACGAATCGTTCGACATCCTGCATGCTAGTTGTTGCCCCCTGGAGCCTACTTATACCCAGCTCGGCGAGTTCCAGTGTAGGGTCCACTCGCCCTAGAGTAAGGGTCCGGTAAAAAAAAGAATGCCGCCATGGTCCTCCTGGCAGGGACGACAGGCGAGAGCGCCTCCACGCGTCCGCAATCGGAGGTTTAAACGAACCTTGAGGAGTGGTAGAAACCGAGTCCCCACACCAGGAGCTAGTACACACTACCTAGCGGTCACGTCAAAAAGCTTCGGGGGATGGTTAAGCTGCGAGTGGCAGTACCCCGAAGAAAATCCCGCGCCGAGGAAATCGTAACCGTTACATCCCCTCGTACTTCAGGGGAAGCGAAATCCCTGTTGATTGTGTAGTTCTTCGTTTTCTTTGTGTGTGGTTGTTGTTTTTCGTTTCTTATTCTGTACCATATACCCTGCTTACTATTAGGTTGGTGCATATGCTATTTTCGTTATGCTTTTGTTTTTAGCATAACCTCGTTTATAGTCGCACTGCCCATTGCCAGAGTCACTTTTCAACAAAGGAGATTTTCTTAAAAGTGTACCATTTTGTTGTTTGTGTCGAATTTCATAAAGATATGAATTCAACTGATATTCGTGTAATTTTGTTTACATGAGTACTTGGTAATAATGCTGCAAAAGCTGTACGCAATATAAACCAGGCGTTTGGGGAAAATACTGTTAACGATCGAAAAGTGCAGCGTTGGGTTGATAATTTTCGGTCTGGTGATTTTTACTTACAAAATGAACCTCGTGAAAACGTCTGTGAACGTCTGTGAAAAATGATGCTCTGAAAGCATTGGTGAAAACGAATGCGACTGGAGTAATTCACTACTCATTCCTTGGAATTGGTGAGACAATTACAGCCGAAAAGTACTGCCAGTACATTGATGAAATGCATGAAAAATTGAAAATTATACGTCCATCACTTGTTGATCAGCGTGGCCCAATACTTACATATGTCGTACAAAACAATTGCGAAATTAAATGTATTTAAATATAAAATTTTGCAGCATCCAACTTATTCGTCGGATCTTTCGCCAACCGACTTTCATTTTTTTAAACATTTAGAACAGTTTTTACGGGCAAAACAGTATGAAAATAAAGATAGTCTGAAAAATTCCATATCAGAGTTTATTGATTCTAAAGATCAGAATTTTTTTCTAAGACAGGCATCTATGCATTGATTGATGCCTTCATGATTTTCAATGAAATTTGTTAACTTTTCATTATAGAGTCAGATCAAAAAGTTGAAGAACATGAGTTTCTTACTTTTTTTCTCATTCCAAGTAGTAACAAAATTTAAAAAATGTATTTAGAATCATTGTCTAGTAGACTGACCCCTCTATCATTTAAAAAAATTTTAGTCATTTAGTCTAGTTTTTAAAAAAAGTTATACCATTTTTCAAGTGGTCCTAAATATAATATATGTCCGCTACTGTAGATCTAATGCTTCAATCTATACAACTTAATGTCTGAATGAAAATTATCTGCATACCTTACAACCTAAATACTCATTTTATCCTAGCTTATATCTACGATTCGACGGGGTTGTCTTTGAGATCAGCCTCTAGTAGCGCGAGCCAGACGTACGTGACCAGTTCTCCTCGGGCTGTTCGGAGATACAACCATCCTTCGGGGATCGGTAAGCAAATCCGGCGACTTNTTTTTACGGGCAAAACAGTATGAAAATAAAGATAGTCTGAAAAATTCCATATCAGAGTTTATTGATTCTAAAGATCAGAATTTTTTTCTAAGACAGGCATCTATGCATTGATTGATGCCTTCATGATTTTCAATGAAATTTGTTAACTTTTCATTATAGAGTCAGATCAAAAAGTTGAAGAACATGAGTTTCTTACTTTTTTTCTCATTCCAAGTAGTAACAAAATTTAAAAAATGTATTTAGAATCATTGTCTAGTAGACTGACCCCTCTATCATTTAAAAAAATTTTAGTCATTTAGTCTAGTTTTTAAAAAAAGTTATACCATTTTTCAAGTGGTCCTAAATATAATATATGTCCGCTACTGTAGATCTAATGCTTCAATCTATACAACTTAATGTCTGAATGAAAATTATCTGCATACCTTACAACCTAAATACTCATTTTATCCTAGCTTATATCTACGATTCGACGGGGTTGTCTTTGAGATCAGCCTCTAGTAGCGCGAGCCAGACGTACGTGACCAGTTCTCCTCGGGCTGTTCGGAGATACAACCATCCTTCGGGGATCGGTAAGCAAATCCGGCGACTTCCGATTGCGACTTCGATACCTGTAGTCTCTTTCTAAAACCCATCAAGATCCAGTAGTGTAGTACGTTATTTTAAGTCTAAGCACGTGAATACTTGTGCAACACTTATCTCGTTGGCGATCCCGACCAGAAGTTTTCGGTGCTGACAACTCGAAAAGTAAGTCCCGCATGAGGCCAGCAGATACTCCAAGACTCGGAAATCGTCCGACATGTCGGATGGTTCGGCCACGTTATGATTCCGTCGTCTTGGCGGTTTCTGGCCCGGGTCTTCAGCGAGCGATCGCCTGCAAGGCTCCGATCAGGGACGGCGGAGTACTTGCTCGTTTCATATGGATTCAATCTCTTTGCCATCCTCGATAGTTCTGCCTGGGTCGTTACTTTCGCCGTCTGTTATACTTAGTCGTCTTCTCTGAAATCTCCCTTCCCGTTGTGAAGGTGAACTCGATTGCGAGACCCTTTGCCGACCTAGATGAACTATTGTTGATCCGAGGATGACGCGGATTCGGTACGGGCCAGAAATTTTGGTTGCCAGTTTGGCACAGGAGCCTTCGGCTCTTGACGAGAAAGGGTGCTCCCGGTGTATGACCGGTTCACCAATCCTGGGTGCCCACTGTCAGCGGTGCTGATTATATAATGAGCGAAACTTGTATAGGGATGCTGTTCTGAGTTGAATTTCGCGTTGAAAACGATAGTTACGCGACTAACATAATATCAAACGCGATGAGTTTCATTCCGGAATTTTGCTGAAATTACTAACTAAGTATTATGCGTAATTAGGCCTTTGTACACTCCCACCGATTAGCAGGACGATTCGCCGGTGTATCGGTAGAAGCAGTGCGAAGTATAAACAGCTGCATGCGAGCAACGCGTCAACAAACCAGGGCCAAATCAAAATTTTTGGGTCCTTCTATATGAGAAAATAGGAAGTTAACTTTGTGAAAAATAATTACACAATAGTGATGCGATATTTATAAACTCAATAATGTTATTAATTAAAGTACGTAACGAGGTAAATTAAAAAGTAAAGTCAGTTATAAAATAACATTTTTTCAGATTTACCTTATTAATCTATTATGACCGTATAGAGAAATAAGGGATCCCGAGTCAAGCAGATACAACGTTTACTTCATAATGGATAGAAGTAAACTTCACTTTCAGATGGATAGGCATTACCTCAGGCAGGGTAGCTGGGAAAAAGCGTGGTTCTATCGCCGCATCTCGTACACCCCGAAATCTTCTATGAAAGAGAACCCTTCCATTCCTCCCTTTTCCTGGCTACTCTGCATGCAAGGACCCTCGATAAGTGTTCTCTAAAATGTACTCTAAGCCCATAAACATTAAAATAGCTGATTAAATGCTCATAAAAACGATTTTTCAAATAACTTCTAAATTACTGATTACAGTAAATTCTCCCAATTGTCCTTCAGCTTGTAGACAAAAATGGACAAATTGGAAAGAGGAGTTGCCGAATGTCAACAACTATAAAAACGAGGCCCATGATTCGAATAATCGTATCCCCTTTTCCCAAATTGTCAATTTTGGTTTACAAGTTGTAGGACAATTGGGGAAAATTTACTTTATATCGAAATATATGTTAGACAAACCTGATCAGACCACGTATGTATTCTATTTGTTTCTTTCGTAAATTGAATAATTTTCGCAAAAACTGTAATAAAAATCAGACAGAAATACAAAGTATTTTCTCAATTTTGAAAACTAAAATGTGTTTAATTATTAGTACATACGAGTTCATACTTGATTAATGGGTTCAAATCCTTAATCTCTCACTACATGTATCATGTACTATATGTACACGCCACCTCTGGTATGCCACATTTTATGTGATTGGATTGATATCGAATTAAATGGTATCATAGTATTGATAAATGATACCAGGTACCTAAGATTTCATTTTTACGTATTAATACTCTCTACTCAGTACTTTGAAATTGGTTTATATCGATAATCACTGATAGTACTAGTATCAATCACATTACTAGCCGTGTAGCTTGTAAGATGTTCCCAGATCTGACACTGCCGTTTGGATGAGATTTTGCATAGGGCTAGAGTTTGTAAAACTGAATCTATTGATATTTTGTTTTAGGTACAGAGGGCTCATAGTTCTTGTTAGAACTGGTGGGAGAACAATAAAGAGGGGACTTTAGGAATGGGAGCAAGTAAGCCTTTCCCTAAATTCATCTCCCTTAATCCACCAATTATGAGCACTCCCCCCCCCCCCATTCCTCAACACAATGTTCGGGCCCGAAATCCAGGTAATCTTCCTGGCTCTATTACTAACAATTTTAACATTAAATATATCAAAAACTATAAGTCATCTGCTCACAAAACCAGGTATAATTATTTTCAGATTTAAAAGCTCTGCCACTATGTGAAATCTCATCTAAAAGTCAGCGACAAGCCTGGGGATCTCTCCTCGTAAGGAGGCACGAATATGTCAAATATAATAGTACATACATACCTACCTAAACATACACATTTTTGCTCAATAAAGCGTCCACTTTATCCTTATCAATTCTACAAAGTGGGATTTTAGAATGGGGTTCGAACAAAGCGAGTGAAACATCGGATATCGGTATCTCACCCCTAGATCCATCCCACGATTCGAATTATACGAGCTTGCAGAATGTAGTGGAGTTAATCACATTACTGATAAGCGAAGAGGGGGAACAAACCAACCATGGCATACGGATCACGAGTTGTTCAATTAACTGGCCTATTATGGCCTACTCTGGTCTACTATATTATACATATGTAAGATGAACTTACTATACAAGTTTTAGTAGTTTCTGCAAACACAGAAAGTGAATCAATGGAATATGGAGAGTGGTTAGATATAATAACATAGATAAATACTGACAGTGATTTGAGTGAAAATATTATTATTGAAAAAGCAAAGGAGAAGTTAAAAACTGCAAATCCAGTCACATATGAAGAGTGGGTGTCAATCATCTATTTAAATGTACCTATGATAATGATATGATCAAACCTTGAATATCAAACCTTGTTAAGTTTAGTTGCTAGAAATGGCTACATTGATATAGTAAAACTTCTAAAAAGCAAAGAAGCAGATGTTAGTAAACCAAATAGGTGTGGAAGTACTCCTTTATTTTGGCTGTTATCAATGACCGCTCGGATATAGTACATAACGAAGGTGACGTTAATAACCCGAACAAATACGGAAAATCTCCATTTTATTGTGCAGCTGAAATTGTTCACTTAGAAATAATGAAAGTTCTATTGAACAAAGGGGCCAATACCAATATATTGTCGACAACGATGAGAGGACTCCTTTGCATTACGCATCCACTAATGGTCATCTGGACACAATAAAATATCTGGTAGAAGAGAAGAATGTTAATTTCATGGTTGTTGACGATGATAGCTGGACACCTTTGCATTGTGCTTCATACATTGGTCATCAGGACACAGTAAAATATCTAGTTGATGAGAAGAATGCCAATTCTACGGTTGTCGACACCGCTGGCCGAACTCCTTTGCATTGTGCTTCATATAACGGTCATCTGGTCGTAGTAAAATATCTGTTAGATGAGAATAATGATAATTTTACAGTTGTCGACACCACTGGCCTCACACATTTGCATTATGCATCTGTTGATGGTCATCTGGACACGATAAAATATCTGGTAGAAAAGAAGAATGTTAATTTTATAGTTGTTAACAACGATGACTGACGCCTTTGCATTATGCTTCATATAATGGTCATCTGGACACAGTAAAATATCTAGTTGATGAGAAGAATGCCAATTTCACGATTTTCGACACCACTGGCCTCACTTCTTTGTATTACGCATATGTTAATGGTCATCTGGACATAATAAAATATGTGGTAGAAGAGAAGAATGTTAATTTTATGGTTGTTGACAACGATGGCTGGACGCCTTTGCATTGTGCTTCCTATAATGAGCACGAGGACATAGTAAAATATCTGTTAGATGAGAAGAATGACAATTTTACGGTTATCGACAACGATGGCTGGATTCCTTCGCATTGTGTTTCCTATAATGGTCATCTAGACACAATAAAATACCTGTCAGGTGAGAAGAATGTCAATTTTACGATTGTCGACAACAATGGGAGGACTCCATTGCATTATGCATCTACTAATGGTCATCTGGACATAATAAAATATTTGGTAAAAGAGAAGAATGTTAATTTTATGGTTGTTGACGACGATAGCTGGACGCCTTTGCATTATACTTCTCATAATGGTCATCTGGATACAGTACAATATCTGGAAGATGAGAGGGATGTCAATTTTACGATTTTTAACAACGTTGACAGGTCTTCTTTGTTGCTTACCGCTGTCAATGGCAAACTCGGAGGAGTTACATATCAGGTACACGACTTGTCTCCTTTGTACTCTGACCATTATTGAGTTGTGCAAGTATGACGTGGTTAGCAAATAAAGGTGCAGATGATAATATTGCGACTAATGAGAATTGAACTCCATTTCAAGCTGCTGCCTATTCTGGTAATCTGTATGTGATGAAATATCTTATAGAAGACGATGGTTCAAATATTAATACTCATGATAAAAGTAATCACACTCTTTTTTGTTCAGCTGTTGAAAAAGGTCATTTAGATATGACTAAATACCTTGTAGAAGAAAAAGGATTTGATATTAACATTAAAGATAGATCAGGTAGGACTATTTTACATCTTGCTGTCCACAGTGATAATTTAGATATGGTAAAATATCTTATAGTAGAGAAAGGTATGAAACAACATATAAATACTAGAAGAACTGATAACGGTTGAACTATTTTACGCGAAGCTACTTCTAAACGCTATCTGGAGATAGCAGAATTTCTTATAAGCGAAGGAGAGCTATGTTAAATGCGTTTGATAAATGTGGTAACACTTCTTTACATAATGCTGCTAGGAAAGGACATATGGATGTAGTAAAATTACTGGTAAACAAAGGGGCTAATCTGAATCAAAGTAATAATAAGGGCCTTACATCTTTGTATTACAGTACTAAAGCAGGTCATTTAAATGTTGTGAAATTTCTTGTGGAAAAGAGAGCTAATTAAAAGAGTTCTATGAGTTTAGTCCTTAAGCACGGTACACGAGATATTATACCATTTTTTAAGAGTACACTAAGCGGTAGTTTTAAAGGAAATACGTACATGTGTGTGAGGTTGATAGTGTACATGCATGATGACAGATTAAGCGCANAGCTACTTCTAAACGCTATCTGGAGATAGCAGAATTTCTTATAAGCGAAGGAGAGAGCTATGTTAAATGCGTTTGAGATAAATAAGGTGCTATTCTTAATCACAAAAATAATAAGGTATTACAGTAATAAGGAAGTTATTTAGATATTGTGAAATATCTTGTAAAAAAGCAGGTAATATCAACATTCAAGATAACCTTAAAAATCGTTCCATGGATTTAATTATTAAGCACGGTAGAGGAGAATTATAGCTTTTTTTAAGAGTACACCATGAGCTAGAGTTTTAAAGAAGATACATACTGATTGTATTTGCAATAAAATATATACATGATGATTAAATTTAACATATTTATATATTTTGTATGTTGCATTTGTTAGGCTGTTATATTATTTATATTGTTACGTGTTTGCGTCTGCACTCGTTTGCAATACTGTTATGATAAAGTTAATTAAATGAAAACAGTGTCTAGATATATGAGTTTTGTTAATGGAGAGTTCATGAAAAATATGTGCAATATATGTCTTAGTATTTTTATGTAAAGAATGACAAACTGAATCAATTAAAAAATGTATAATTATTTCTAAAAAAATAAAGTTGACCTTCATGTGTCCTTCACGCGTTCACCCAAATCAATCTTATTCATATCAGATCACGTACCATCTAAAAACCTTCAACTTTCGTTTCAGACACTTTTTAGTATCATCAACAGTTTCGAAGATATTCGATTCAGTCGATTTAAATGGGTCACCCTATACATATACGTATTTGTCTAGGGTAGGAGGTGGTATGACTTTTGTCATAAAATTAAAAACACATTTTGTAAAATTTAAATAAATATTAGAAGTAATAAAATATGAAGATGAATATCATTTCATGAATAAATGGTCAAAACTGTAATGATACGTCGCATCGAGCTAATTCTTTTATGAAATCACGTGAAGGAATGGAATATAAAAAAATATACAGCATTTACAGTGTAATATACGTTATACGTTATTCCTAATTCGGAACAAGTTTCTTGTACTTCATTGTATAATTTACATACTTTAAATACGCAGTAGTTACTCCAGGATTTCTCCAGCGTTCTATCTTGACTCCATTCAGTTCATATAGAATTTCATGAAACATGAAATATGTGTGCACGTCTATCTTGGTTATACGACAATCGGTGCCCAGTACATATATTGCCAATAGCTAAACTATCAGTCAGTATTACTCGACATCAAATCACAATGACTGCAGAAAACGTACGTTCTGCGAGCTCAGATTCTTTTTCTCTCTTAACCCCTCGCCGTACTAATTCCTTCATAATTGCAATGATTAGAAGTTTTTCGATTGTAATAATTTTTAAGAAGAAAAAATGTCAATCTATATTTATTGTATTGGGATTGTGGCTTGGATTATTTCTCAAATGAATATGATATTAATTCTTTTTCTTAGAAGTTTTATTTTTACTTTTATTTGAGAGAAGGTATATGTACGAAATGACTGAGCGATCAAATTCAACTGAGAGACCGGTGACTGAAAATCGCTTGCTTATATACTCTTTTTGATGTGGTTTTCTCCAGCAATCAGAGATGGTCATTCATCGCGTATTACATTGTATACGCGGTACTGGGATCACTAACAGTCAGAGCACGATGTGCTCTAATGACACCGGCGATGATATATCGCGGTATCTATAATATACAGTTTACATTACCATCGGTGCGCGCTGACGGAACCGGTGGAAATGTAAACTGATATTTTCGAATCTCAGTTCTAAGTAAACTATAGATTAATTTTTGTCCGAGGCTAAAGTTTCTTTTTTAACATATTGTATGCCTGCATTTAGTTGAATGCTTAAATATCGATGACAAGAGAATAGAATTTTATTTCGACTTAAAAGAACGGAATAATATTCATACTTAACAGTTTTTTCCTAGAAATCTCCGTCACGTGTCAGACCCGTCAAAGTATGTCAAGGTGTTAGAATAGGTGTTACTGATGATTGTATGGTAATTTGATGTGTCGACAAACGTATTTGTTGTAGGTGTGACGGTTTCGCCACTTTACATGCAATCTAATAGGTATTTCTCCTGCATGAAAATCATTTATTATTCGCACCACGATAAAATTCGAGAATAATATGTACGGGTTAATCATTACTGTATAAATCCGCAGTTATGTTTAATTCTATTCTGATCACATTGATGTTTATGATATTCACAGAAACATTATCCTCGTGCAACGGTTTAGTTGGGAGGATACGATTTGCAGAAAATCCAAGCAGTCCGTGAGGATAACTTTTAAGCATTTCCCGTTCCAAGTACTTATCAATTGCATACAGTTCGCAAGATCCTTTGGGAATGACAATTTTTTAATTATTTTTGGTGCAATCAAATTTACTGTTCCTATCATCGACGTAGGATATCGTGTGAAACGTTACAAAATGTAAGTACGAGGGTTAGTTCGTATTTATGATTATACCAATCCATCTGGTGAAGGTACTGGATCGAAAACATACTGCCCTTATGCGTTAATGTTAGTGTTAACAACGAAGATGCCATATTTATATGAAAGGATTAAAATCTGTAATGAAATGCTGTAAAGTAATTTCCCTCATACTGTTCCTCAGCTTGGGAACAAAAATTGACAACTTGGAAAGATAAGATACAATTATTCGAGCCTTCCGGCTCGTTTTTATAATCTCTGATTATCAATAACTACAAAACGAGCCGCAAGACTCGAATAATTGTATCTCCACTTCCCAAGTTGTTCATTTTCGTTTTCAAGCTGATGGATATTGTTAGAGAAATTACTATCTATTACAGGTAAATCGGACGATTAACTTTTTATCACTATATTGTTCTGATCATGAAATAAAATGAAATCGATATCTTCTGTTAGGGTAAGAAGTAAGTTTGCATTATCTGTTCCACATAATCATGCGGAGTAAATATCCACGCTTGATACAACAAGGTGTCTTTTTCTGAGAAAATTTTCAAGTGACAAGAAATAAACCGCTAATACCATTCGTGATCATTGATTATCACGTTTCGTGATATTTTGTTCCATGTTTCGTGATATTTTGTTACATGTTTCGTGATATTTTGTTACATGTTTCATGCATGGCAAAAGTTTTCAATGTGAAACTTTCTCAGAAATTCTCCCATCGTACAAGAACTTTTCAGGTTTTCAATAAGAAATTATTATGATTGATTTTTTTAAAGTTTCTTTCTTATGGTTTAGAAGGTGTTTCATGATTACAGTTTAAAGTAATCTGCAAAATTCGAAGGTAAGGAGATAAGGAGATAAGGAGCGAAAGGGTTTGACGCAGTTATCTTCAGAATAAATACGTGTAAATTATTTGCACAGTACATTAACTGTAATTCACTTGTCTAATACATAACAATAACCTTAACAATTCAATGATGATAACAAACAAACAATAAAGATATTAAAAAAGAAATAACAATAAAGATATTATCGCAGTAGCGAACGCACAAGGTAGTTGTGTATATCTATAACGCTTTGAGACACGGTACGTGTGTACTATCGCACGGTTCGCAATGAAACTAAGTTCGATCGTTACAGTTATGCCGAAGTGCGAGAGAGATACCTACTATTCGTCGCGCAGACATATCACACAAAGAGAGCTTTGCTTGAGGCAAAGAGAGTTGTCTCACTGGCTTGGCTAACTGGCTTTGTCAACCGAATGAGCCGACCTCGTAAGATCCGCGTTTTCACTGCGCCAGCACAGACCGATCAGGCAGGGAAGTAGGCAAAGATAAACAAGTTTGAAGCGTATCGTATCTCTCCAGTGTCATTTGAGAAGGGCTTTTCCATTTGAAAAGTCGAACGCTATGCCGATTCATTTTCCACCCGATGTCGGTAAAAGATGAAAGGAAATCATGACAACCGAGGCCAAGTCAACGGCACGAGGTCCTAAAGTAGAATCTGGGTCAAAATTAGTAAGTCCTAAAATTCTCTCCACAAATACTGCCAGTTCAGATGATAATATATCAATTAATGAAAAGAATACAGTTTCATAAAACAAAGTTTAGAACACTGTGTATCTTTATGATAATATTGGTTAATATTTTCATTTTGAACAAATTCGAGCGAATAAAGTTGCCTTTAAAGTAAAGTTTAAAATGTTCAAAAGTAGAACTGATATACCATTCTTCTACGAGAAGAATGTCCGTCGTCCGTCCTATAATTGGAGGCACTAATCGAAATATTGGTCGAAACCGTTGACAAAGGTTATCACTGAGTGAGAGAAAATTCTCGTCTTATAATTTAATTTAAGTATTTTAATTCAAAATCTAAATTATTTTTTTAATATTAGACAGTTTATATAGATTTCATAAACCCCTACATTCCAGCCTTTAATTAAAAGACAAATGATTATGCTACCTTTGTACAGTCAGAATACTGCAGCTATTTAAATATCATTGAGCAGGACTGACTTTAAATTTTACTCAAAAAGACATGTTTTTGATAAACAGGTGAATATAATTAATTTGCCGAATTTCAAAATATTACTTATTAATCTTAAATATAACTTAAAATTTTAAATTTACTAATTTAATCATTATAATAATATAAATTTATTAGTATAATATTTTTTTATGAGAATTACTGTCTCACTCGATCTCGCTACCACCCGTCGTTGACTTTGTCATCGTCTTCGACTAATATCGATCACTGCCTGCGATCATAACAGGAACTCCGGATCGCAGCCAAAGTTTGTTTGTTCGTAACCTCCGATAACGCGAGAGGAAGAGGGATGATGCCAAACGTTCGATTGAAGAACACCGACGTTCAGCTTTTCGAGCCGTTCGGCATTGACTGAAGCCAACCGCGCGACATGC